CAAATTTTCTCCCGCGCGCTCTCACCTCATCACATGTAATTTCGTGCTACCGAAACAAGTACGACCCCCCCCCACCACAAACTTCAACAAACTACGACCCCCCCCCCAGTTGGTACTTGTACCGACGTAGGGTTGACCCTGACCCAGAGACCGGTGAAAAGGTGGTTAGAGGTCGGCGAAGGAAAGAGGATCAAGTGCTATTGGTGGACGGCGGTGCACCAATGTGGGCGGAGTATGTCACCAAACTTATTCGTTCTAGAGCATTTCCGTGGTCCGCAGAAAAGTAGTGTGAAGGTTGGCGTGGAGTATAGGTTAAGTGATGTTGGTGGGCGGCGCATGCACAGCAGTGGTGGGAGTTTCCCATCATATAAACCGGTTTAGAGACTGTTCAGACCGGGAAAAATAGGCAATGTTTGACGAAAAATGGACAATGCTTGACGGAGGAGGGAAGGTCAATAGCAATCTGGAGGTGGCGTATGCACCTTAATGGGCGGGGCTCAAATCCATAATCGCTATATAGTCCAGCGATCGCGCGGGGAACGAGCAAAAAGCTTGTAGAATCTAGCTTGGAAGGCCAAATCAAGCATTCGTGTGGTTCTTGCTATTGCCGCCGACTTTGTAAACTGGTATGATATATTTAACTGTTATCACGTTTCATTATATATTTGAATTTGTGTTTTTGAAGGTATAAATGATAAAGAAAAATTTCAATGTCGCAAAAGTATACTTCTAACTCGGTATACGGTAATTGTTCACAGCGTCGCAAGAATTTAATGTCATGATTTCAGCTCAAAATCTCTGATCCTGTTGCTTTTGCCGAACATCTGCGTGCTGAGGTGAGACGTGAAACCGGATGTCCAGCTTCAATTGGCATAGGTGCATTGTCTTGGTTTTGTTTATTTTACAAGTTTGTTGGCGTCTTATGCATTCTGGTTTCATCACGTTGACGATAGACTGGTGCGGAAGCGCTTTAGACATTTGAGGACCGCATTGGAATTTTTACGCGCATGCGTGCCAGCATCGTATTTCCCAATTTTTGCGTATGTCGGACTTCTTTGTTACTATTCTTCAGACTACATGCTTTAACCAAAAACGGCGTGGTACATAGAGGGGTCGGATATGCTGTAGTTGAAGCAACGCCCCCAGCAGAAGTCGTGTCGACGAGTCTATTCAGTGTGGTGGGAGAGAGTAGCCCACGAGCCCTCAGCCCAGTAGCACAGATGTGCCGTTGCCGCAGCTGAAAGTGTGTGGCAATTACGCTAAGATCTTATAAGGTCAGCATTTGATGGCTAATTTTAGCATTTCGAGATGCCAAAATAGTGAGAAGCGAAGCAGTGAAATATCAAGGCAAAAGTCATTTTCGGACGAAATGTTCACAATAATTTGGGCGTTCTGGTCCCGAGACGGTGTGCTACCCTGTGGTACCATGGCGGTCTTGTGGGGCAAGCGCGATTACGCGAGCGTGATCTCGGCTCGTAGAAAAGCGCTTATACCACGCGGATAAAAAAGCGATCATCAGACTACATTGTGTCTCGAAGTCGTTCTTTGATTTCTCAGGATTCGTTACAGGTAGGAGCACCTTGATAGCTCGACTTGCTACGCGCTATGCAAAGCCAGATGGCGTCCGCTACGTACCGGAATGTGAATCCACCACATTTATCGCGAACGAAAAGGTTATATTTTGGCTTTGTGATATCCATAATTACAAATAGATATTTCTGGTTGCAGGTCAAAAATTTGCCTGGGCTAGGATACCATACACATGAAAAACTAATCAAAGAGTTTGGTAAGAAACAATTTTTTTTACAATTCTTTTTTTTATATTTCACATACTACTCGTTTATAAATGGGTGCCTCACCTAAGCAGCAGAACGCAGCTCAGAGTGGGAATTCAACTGCTAACACTCGTGGAATGAGAGGCAGATATTGAGCTGTTTGTGAAGACAGGTGGCTCAGAGAGGATTCATAAATATTAAGGTGTCCAAGAAGTTTTGAGATTATTCAAATTTTATTTCGAAATGGTTAACAAACAATGATTTCAATCAGGATGCGTTGGTCCTCAGTAATCGAAACCTTTCTCCGTGGATGAGGCAGTCTATGGATCCCTCTGCTTCGAAATCAAAAAAAAACGATCACGATAAAGAGGGATGCATATGCGCCACACGAAGCAGTTACTTGGCTGCCAGGAAGCGAGGTGTGGCGTTTCACGACGAAAGGTGCGCTGGTTGCTGAGCAGGACTTCGAAAGCACTCCGCCCCAAAAGCGATCCGCCCACTAGTTTAGTTGGTGATTTGGACGAGCTGTGTTGCCAGCAGCGGCACAACTGGAGCAACTCGACTGGAGCATGGTTTGGTGGTGCCACCAAACGCGTTGCGGTAAACTCGTCCATACACCGCCGTCTTAGCCGCTGCCCGTCCGTGAGCGAAAATCAACGGCTTACTCAAGGGGGTCCCGTTTTGCGTTTTCTTGGACGGATTTCTCTGCTTTTTTTGCCGTTGGTGTGTCGCTGAGCACCCCCACGTCCCATGCACACCCCTTCCAGAGCCTATCGTAATCGCTGCTTTTAAGAGTCGAAGGTCATGAACTATGTATATTGCATCTCAAAGAGTCTCAAAACTTCTTGGACACCCAAGTGAAATAAGTCCAACGTCTGGTATCTCAAAATGGTCAAGTAGTCGGGTGAGAAGAGGAAAACTATTATATTCCAAACTGTTGTAACACGGTGCGATAAAGTTCACGTTCTACCAATTGGACCTGTCTGGTTTTTGTCTAATAATAAACAGGCTTTGAACTCGTGTCAAATGGAAAGCGAAGTGTGATCGAAGGGCATTCATCGATGCATTCCGTATATCAGGAATAGCTTGAAAATTTTTCCATCCACACCAAACATTTGAGTTTTGAAAAATATGAGTTTGAGATATTGAGATATTGAGTTTTGAAAAAACAATGTGAAAAAGCAAATGATGAGTTCAGGGCTCTTCTTTACTTTCATATCCTACGAAATTCCTTTGGAAAATTATTAACCGCCATGCAACTTCGGCTTAAATCCCATCATTTTGCTCAATCAGCCAATACAAGTTTTTTCGCGGTATAAAGATAAAAAATTCTGCTTCACAGATTGAAATGTGCTTATTATATGCACAGTTGCATCTAGCTCTTTTCTAACAGAAGGTTTGTTTTCGAATTCGTCTTGGAAGGCGAGTTTCTAGAAAGTTTATTGATGCAGAATCATTCTATTTCGATCTATCGTTTGAATGAAATCTTTTATTAGGTCGTGAAGAAATTTTTTGGTGTTCCATTTATTGATCCTTTATTTTGTTCCGACTTCAAGCAAGGAGTTTTTTTGTCCTATCTGACAGTGAGACCCGCTTTGTTCTTTATCATTTGGTTAGCACTTTTTAAAGCTCTGAATACGGCATACTGGAAGAGCAGATTTGCATGATTTTCTTTTTCTAGCTGGAGCAAAGGGAAGGTCAAGATTTTTCAGATGTGCTTGGTTG